GATCGCCGAGCCGGAGGACGAGGACAAGGAACCCGGGGACCCGGAGGAGGAAGAGGAGGAGGAGGAGGAAGAAGAAGAGGAGGAGGAGGAGGAGGAAGAGGAAGAAGAGGAGCCGGACCCCGAGAACCCCGAGAACGGCTCCCTGCCCCGCTTCCTGCCGCGCTTTAACTTCACCCTGAAGGACCTGACCCGCTTCGTGGATTTCAACATCAAGGGGCGCGACGTGATCGTGTTCCTGCACATCCAGAAGACCGGGGGCACCACGTTCGGCCGGCACCTGGTGAAGAACATCCGGCTGGAGCAGCCTTGCACCTGCAAAGCCGGCCAGAAGAAGTGCACCTGCCACCGGCCGGGCAAGAAGGAGACCTGGCTCTTCTCCCGCTTCTCCACCGGCTGGAGCTGCGGGCTGCACGCCGACTGGACCGAGCTCACCAACTGCGTGCCGGCCATCATGGAGAAGAAGGACTGTCCCCGCAACCACAGCCACACCAGGTACGGTCCCCCGGCACGGGCTCCCTTCCCCAGCCTTCCCCCCGCACGTCTGACCCGCAGCCCTCCCTCCTCACCCCTCTCCCCGGGAAGCTACGCCTTCACCTGCCTCTTCTGGCGGTTTGGGGCAGAGGTTTTGGAGCAGAGGTCAGAAAAGCCCTGCGTACCACAGGCGTCTCGAACCCACCCCTCGCTTTTGCGCTCAGGCCCCGTGGCTTGCACCCTGTTGTGTCTATCCTGTCAGGTGCCTGGTACCTGGTACCTTGTGGTCTCCCTGGAACAGGGGACCAGCAAGAAAACCCGTGGAGATAACCAGGGGCCTGGGCGCATCGGGGGTTAAAAACCAGAGGTCGAACCTCAATTCTGTGATGGAAAACCCGAAGCCCAGAAAGGGCCGGGGAGCTGGGAGTGGAGAGGTAGAGCAGAAGTTTTCCAAGCAAGGCGTGAAAGCCAGCAACGGATAACATCTTTTCCTCAGTGGTTCTGGGGTGGCTGCCTGCCTGCTTAGAAAATCCTCTTGCTGCCGCTTTGAAGGCACACGTGTTGATTCCTGCCCTGCCTTGATAAACCTCATGTTTGGAGATGGCCTTTGTTGCACAGTGCTCAAGGGTTGGACTCCTGCTGTCTGCCTTCAGTAAAGATTTCCATCAAAACTTATTTCAAAAGTATGCGTTCAATGCCTGTTGTGTGCCTGGCAGTGTGCTGAATGCGAACAAAGATCAAAGATGTAAGATCTCCTGAGCGCGAGGTGAAACGGCTCACCTCCTTCTAATGGTGAGAGGCAGGCAAGGGTGATGAAAGTTTGAAATCTTAACAGCCAATGAGACTGCTTACAATATCAGCAGCCTTGGAGAGAGACAGGGGTTTAAGATTGCGGTTGAACACTTTCTCTGCCCAATGCCATCTGAAGATTAATCTGACAGAGGAACTCAAGGGACTAAAATATTAAAAGCTTGGAACACTAGTGTATTGACGTTTTTATCTCAAAGATTTCAAACAATTTGGTGTAAGGAAATAGGAATTTAAACACTCAGCTTAATATGTGAATCTCAGATAGGTTTTGCATTAGACATTACTGAGATGCTTCATTTGCTGGAAACTACCCAGATTCTGGAATTAACTACCATTGAAGCATCTAATTCTACTTCATTTCTCCAAGAATGAGCAAATTTTTCTTTATGGGTTTTTTTTTACACCTCTGGCAGTTTTTCAAATGCTTACTCTCCTCCCAACTCCTTTTCTTGTTTAGTGGAACTTGGTTGGAAATTATAAAATGGTTGGACGTGGAATGAAGGCATTAGGTTCTCCCCTTAGTATTTTAAAGGAGCTTTTATACTTTAATGTTTTTGTAGTGTATTACTTTAGATCTCACCTCTGTGTTTTAACTTAAAACAATGTTCAATTAAGTATGACTTCCAAACTTTGAAACACTATTATTGCAGGGAGACTTCATCCTCTGAACTTCAATCTGTGGTGTGCTTTTTTTGAAGGTTACATATTTCTGATTGACACCTCCCCCCTAAAAAATTCTACTGGTTTGCCTTCTAGCTTTCATTGTACTAAAACAGGAGACTTATCACATAGACACATCTCAGTAACTTTCCTTTTTGCTAATGTTTTAGAGAATAAGTGAAGATTTTTTAGAGGAATTGGAAGAGGATGTGAATCTGGAAATAATTGGATTTTTGCTGAGTGATAGAATGATGCTGTTGTTATAGGCCTTCCATACAGCCCAAACAGTAAAGTGTCATGTTATATCACTTGCCTAACACCTTTCTACTCCATGACATATGAAAATTCCACCTTGGCTATTTTAGGAGATGGTCTCTACTGCACAAATCATTTAGTGATGGACTATGAACATTTACTTCTCTTGGAACCACATGTTGTCAGAAAACCAATCACCTTATACTTATTTTTCCCCTTTTTTGGCAATAATTTTTTGTAATATTTTTTACATCATCTTTAAAAAATCTATTTTCTTTTCGCACTCCCCTTGCCCAGTAACTTTCAATTACTTTTCTTCCTAGATCCTATAGGAAGGACTGGTTTTGATTTATGTGAAATGCCATGCATCAAAAGCTGTCGGGAAAAAGTTGCAGAGATGTTAATCCTAGCATCCTCCTCGCAGAGAACATTGAATTAGTTGTCTGTCACTGTAATGTCTGTGTACAGCATTCTACGGTCAACCAGATTAGCCTGGATAATGGAGGGTACATTTCCACAATGTAAAGTGGCAGATAATCTATTGCTACATAATGGGAACAAGGTTCAACCTAAAATTGGGCTGACTAAGCAAAATTGAGAAGTAGCTTCTGTTGATGTTATTTCCCCAGTCTTTCTGCTTTTGGTCCCCACTTGGCACCACCTCCTCATTTCTCTTAAAGATCAGTGACCTTGTAGATCACAAAGTGGGTAACAGCAAGGATTCCAGAGTCAGAAAAATAGAGATTTTGTACTTATATGGACCAGCCATGTAGCTGGGAGTAGACCACTCTTTCTGAGCCTCAGATTCTTCAGCTTTATATAGTAAATTTCAAATAGGGTGTTTCTCACAAGGTTTTTTTTTATAAGAGCAAATGACTGAATGTGTGCAAAAGCATTATCATATTGTATATGTCTAGTATAACATACTGACAAACAGTCCTTTTCTGTAAGGGTACTGACGACTGAACTCAGCCCAAGCTAGGTAGGAAAGTTCTCTCCCATTTCAACCACATTCCCAGTCCTATCATTTGTAGTTTATTTTTCAGATCAGGTCTTCAGTTTTTGTCTAGGCCAATCTCACACTAAGACCCTCCTGCCTCTACTTCCCAAGTATCTGGGATTATGATTATGTACTACCAAGCTTCCCTGGAACACAGAACTTAATATTGAATACACATGCATATGCTAGTCCTGTGATCCTAGTGTTTAATTGTATTATTTTTCCTAGTTAGAATCTTCCTTCACAGAAAGATCTGTGGTCAGTTCCTTAGAGCAGGTCAGCATCAATGAGTGGCCTTGACTTAAGAGAAATGCCCTTTTGTGATTACTTGTATTGAGAATGCTGTTCCAAATTGAAGCAATAAATTAAAAATTGTGAACATTTGGATATTCAGATTGTTCCAGGAGGCAGAATGGCAAGCAAAGCCAAGAAGGGCATAGAATATGATTGGGAGTACATTTTGGAATGGTGAGGACTGAAGCAAGGCAGAAGAAGAAGAAGCCAATCCAAGAGAAGCCTGGTAGACTTGAGCCTCCTATGGAGTGCATTGGCCTACTTAGGAGTAAGCATGCTCCAGGCAGTCTAGATCAAGCACAGAGGTGAGTTCTGATGGCAGAAACTGGGTAGAATAGAACAGGAAGCCAACAGGAAGATGACATCTCTGAATCACCTTTTTCATGGTATTGCTGATAATTTCTTTCTGTTCTTTTTTTTCTTTGGCAGGTTAGTCTTTCTCATAATTGTATGCCTTTTTTCCTCCTTACTTCATCTACATGAAGATAGTAAAGCCTCCTTTGCTATCATTGAATATAGGTAGTAGCATAGCAGTTTATGGCCAAGAAGGATGAAAGAGATAACATAGTTTCACAATTTTCATGGGTAAGCTAATCCCAAAACGGTAAAATGATATGATTGTTGTTTCCTCAGGGAATTGTGTCTTCATTTCCATAACTAGATTCAATGCATACTTCTGTCATATACATGGTAGAAGAGTATCTTCAACATTTACTGGTGCCAGCCACCACGGTAGTCCTAAGCATGGACTTGGAGGAAAGCAGACTATTGGGGAAGATAGGCCTTAATTTTGATCAGTTAGTATCATGCTCGTGAAGTTATTCATGCCTATCATCCTGTAGGATGGGCTGGTCATTTTCCTTTTATGATCCGCGTTCCATTGATGCAGTTAGTAAATATTGTCTTTTGTAGGATTCTTGGTGTTGCAAGTGACACCACAAATTTACTTCAGGTACAGAAAGATGATTGTTTTTCTTAATTGCACAGAGCAGGAAATGGTAGAGGTGATTTCAAAAATTTCTGGAACTAGCTGGGTGCTACTGGCTCACGCCTGTCATCCTAGCTACTCAGGAGGTTGAGATCAGGATCCTGATTAGAAACCAGCCTAGGCAGAAAAGCCTGAAAGATTCTTATCTCTGATTGATCAGAAAAAAGCCAGAAGTAGAAGTATGATTTAAGTGGTGACACAACAGACAAACAAAAAAGTTAACGAGACTCCCCACATGGCTTTGAATATTGATTTCATTCTATCAAACTAGCTTATTCATTAGGATAGGTAAATGGGTTTCATGCCTAATAACTCCACAAGGAAAGAGTTGAGAAGGCTTTCTAGAGATTTCATTTGAAATCTTGGAGTAGGGCTGATTAATTTCAACTAGGGCCTTGTGGTTAAATTTTTGAGCCAATCAGTGTGGCCAGGGAGATAAGGTTCTATGACCTACTTAATATCACAGAACCATTCCTATGAATAGTAGAATTTATGCTACTTATGCATTTATGCTACTATTTATGGTCATGAGCATTTCTGCGTACATGCTGCAACCAGTTATCAGAAGCAAATAACAACTACCAGAGACACAAGTCCTGAGTGGTCCAAAGGATTGTGGAAAGTATCCAATTATGTCAAGAATAAGTGCAAACAAATGAGACATAAATGAATCTTCAGATCTCTTCTTTGCGTTGTGCTTAGGGAAACCGTTAAGCCAAAAGGGAACTCAAATTGTCTGCAGCATCTGGAAGCCATGTTCCTGTGAGAATTAATGGATGGAATTGTTAATATTTAATGTGTAAATCTACGAATGTGTAAATGATAAAAAAAATAAGGAGAAGGTAGAAGGAAATTGCCCTTAAATCCTCAAGGAAAGAAGAGATACAAGGCGAGAGAGACTTGTTCTGTACCACTCTAAAGGAGATTGGAATAGGAAAAAAGTGATGAGATTTCAGAGTAAGAACTTCATAAAATTTATAACTGTCTGAAATGTGCGTGAACTCTTCTGTGAAG